ATCAGGATTAGCAACTGGGGTCTTATTTTGTCTGTAGTACTGGCTGTCTTTTGTATTCTGTTTCTTGTCTTTTCAAAAAACCTCCTTCTCTGGTTTCTACACATGCCTGCTGAGCGCAACCCTCGCACCAGAAATAACAATGAGACTTCTAACCTGGACCCGTGCCGTCACCCTCTGGCTCCTAGGTGCAACAATTCTCCAGCAGCTGACCCCCAAAGAGCGCCAACCCCTTACCCTTCCCACCTCCAAAGTCTAGAAGAGCACTTCACGGCTGGGATGAATAGAGATGCCAGTTCCTAGGTGTCCCATTCTGAGCTTCCCTCTTCAACAGGAATCTGAGGACTCTTCCTTAGAGTTCCTAGATGAAGGAGGTTTTTGTTACCCATTTCCCCCTTTTTTACCAAATGTCACTTGCCAGCCTTTCCTTATTCCAGGACCCCCAGAATCATCCAATAGTGATGCCGTTGTCTTACACCAGTTTCCTGGGCCCCTGGAAGTTCCTCAGGCCTCAGAAGCTACTACTGGATCTTACCACGTCGCCCCTGCACAGGTCTTCCCATCCTCATCGCCTATGAATATCTCATCGTCTCCCAATCCTGACAGTCCCTTCGCTGCATCCACCGACTCACCCAGTATGCCGCCTCTCGCATCGGATGTCTCTGACAATGGCAGCCTCAACCACGCTCCCAATCTACGGTTACTAGCCGACGCCAGCGAGTACATTACAGCGACAGAAGGATATAGCAGCGATCCCCAGGAGTTTGTAGTCTACAGTGACGACGTTCTCCAATGACCCTCCATCGATGTCACCTGATACTGGTGATCCCTTCCATTCGACACCTCTACCCCTGTCCAAGATGTCGATCCCTTGGATCGTGTACTACCCTACTTCCCTGGAGCCTACACTACCACTGCCACTTGGCCTCCTATGGGTGTCCCCATTGATGAGAATCCGGCCTTTGGACTATGACAAGTATCAACAACCCCGGCTGATGTACTTCGAGTCGCTGAACCTGTAGGAAATTGGAACCTTTCAAACAAAGAATGGGAGGAGGACACTTGGGAGTACTTGCTGACGCGAGATGATAATCTGTTGGAAAGTCTTTGGGCATCGCTACAAGACATCAATGATCCCGGAGTAGCTGATGAAGTCAATCGTTTCAGGGCTGTCAATGCTAAAACCGATCTACTATTGGTCGCAAGACAATCTGTAGGGGCCGAACTCATCCATGCTCGACAGGAGATGGACCAATGCCGTGCTCGTCTTAAAGTGACCAACCTGGAGGAACGCCTCAAACAGCATGAGTTCTCCATCATCACTCCTCCCTCGGGTGCTATGCCTCGTCACCTTCGCTTCTGCACTAAATGCGAAACCAATGGTCACCTTCAAAGTGAGTATTGGCACTGGTTGTGTTCCCAATGCGGTCTTCTACACCCTTGTCATAAATTCCGCACCAATGTCGACATCCAGCCTGGACAACTTCCTTGTCCCACCAATGAACCAGGGTATCTACAGGAACGCCGTGCTCAATGGAAACTCTAACGACAAATCTAGAGAGGGGGGTAATATTACAATGTGGAGGGGGGATTTCTTTTCTTTTCTTTTCTTCTCCTAACTATTTGTCATTAACCCTGTAACTGTACAACTGATCCCATCACCTGATGTGTTTCACCTACATCAGTGTTTCATATCTATCACGTTTCACCTATATCATATTTTACTTACATCATGTTTCATCTCCATCATGTTTCATCCCCATCACTAATACAACCTGTTAAGGGACCTAACGACTGAGGATCAGGAGTTCAACTGGGTAACTGTGACTAGGACTAATACACACTATAGTCCTACGCCGATACTAGAGTGCAAACTGAGCCACTATTATCTGATAGAGTTTGAGGGTGTATACTGGTTGAAGCAAAGCTTCAGACTGAGACTAGACT